AGTTGAGTATACTGTAAAACATCTCAATAATGTTTCCAGTCAGCTAAAATATCTGTTGCTGATTCTGTGTACACTGTCTTTCTGTTTAGTTTCAGACATGTTATGGAGATGCCACTCATAGTTGCATGATTTGTGTTTCAGCATTATGGCAATACTCCCGAGTATGCAAAGGCATGTCACTGCAGAGCACACTAAGTTACGCCTGCTTTATAATTGCAGCCTTTGTTTGAGACTTGGATAGCTTTGCTAGTAAAAGGTTCTTCGATCTGACTGTAAGGTGAATGCAAATCTCTCCGTGGCTGGCGAGAGAAGACGCTTCTGGCATTCCAGTAATGAGAAAGGAAAAGACTTCAGCCTTCATTAGCTGAATGATGGCAGACAGATCTCTTTCTCTCGCCTCTGAGACCTTTTGACCAGACGGGAAATAAAACGGTTGAAAGTAAAGACATCTGAGAGATAATTTGACAATTTTCCACAGATCTTGAAGCCAGTATTTCTCAAAGCTTCTCCAATATGCACCTTTAAGGTTTATTTATTTCATAGAAGCTTCCAAACCAGAAATATATACTCAAAATTCATTTGCCAGGAAGAACCAAAACATTAAAAAAATGTTTTTAATATTAAAAAAGTTTTTTTTATTGTATTTTTTGTTTAACACTGTTATAATCTAAATAAAAAATGGGATATATATATATATATATATGGTTGAATTATTAGCCTCCCTGTTTATTTTTCCCCAATTTCTGTTTAACAGAGAGGGTTTTCTCAACACATTTCTAAACATTATAGTTTTAATAACTAATCTCTAATAAATGATTTATTTTATCTTTGCCATAATGACAGTAAATAATATTTGATTAGATATTTTTCAAGACACTTCTATACAGCTTAAAGTGATTTTTTAGGGCTTAATGAGGTTAATTAGATTAACTATGCAGGTTAAGGTTATTAGGCAAGCTATTGTATAACGATGGTTTGTTCTGTAGACTATCAAAAATATATAGCTTAAAGGGGCTAATAATTTTAACCCTAAAATGTTTTTTTTTTTTTTAAATAAATAAAAACTGCTTTTATTCTAGCTGAAATAAAACAAATAACACTTTCTACAGAAGAAAAAATATTATCAGACATATGGTGAAAATTTCCTTGCTCTGTTAAATACAATTTGGGAAATATTTTAAAAAGAAACAAATAATTAAAAAGGGGGCTAATAATTCTGACCTTAACTGTATATATTTTTTGTGGTATTAAAAAGTTCCATAAATGTTCTTCATAGATCAGTCATATCCAATAAGGAATATTTATTTCAAGAGTATACTGTAAATTTTAAAAGTAAAACAAATTTTTTTAAATAGCCATAAAAAAGCCAAAATAATGAAAAGGCCAAGTGACACTCAGACCAGCAAGGAACATTATTCTGCTACAAAATGTTTTTATTTTTTTTTGAGACAACAATAAACTGAAACAATATTATTTAATTAAAAGTGTAAAAAAATAGAATGTATTGACTGTGAACATGTAGGCACTGAAGGTGCTGGAATGGATTAGGTATGTGCTTTCTTCACCTGGCAATTGATTCTGTGTTGCTCAGAATGCAAAATATGTCTAGTATGTATCTGTATCTTGCCCTTTAGTATCTGTCTGACTAGAACTCTAATGAAAATGTTCCATATGAAAATGAACAATGGTGTTAATACAAATAATGACACACACACACACACACACACACACACACACACACACACACACACACACACTGTTGTTAGTAAAGTAGCTAACCCATTGTAACTATGTCAAATATGCCTTTGCTACACTTACAACTTAACCATTGTATTTTTTTGTGTGAAATTGCACAAATAGTGTCAATTGAACCAATATGAAAAAAAAAACACCTCACTACACCTTTACTATATGAAAACGCAATAATTAATGTATTGTATCTTAGTGTCAAGCACACATCTGAGCATGCAAACAGCTAAATATTGGCCCATTACCATTAAAGATGTCTCTCAGCCCTGTGGCACACAGACGGTCAGACAGGACAGGAAGTGCTGGGACTCCACTGAACTTGTCTGAGGATGAGGGAGGAACAACTGCTGTAGACAAGGAACGTTCGGAATTTCTCTGTCCTGAAGGGTCCTGTCCTCCACATGACCTTTAGAGGTCAGGATATTCTCATCCCTACAGTTTATCATCACATGACTGATTGATTTCCCCCATTATTACTGATTAACAGCTATTTCTGCACCACAAAAGCTAAGACTGACAGTATCTGTAGTTGAGAGTTTAAAGCCAGTCATTATTATTGTGCATTTGATCTTTTTGTGATCAATAATACATTCATTCATTCATTTTCTTGTCTGCTTAGTCCCTTTATTAATCCAGGGTCACCACAGCGGAATGAACCGCCAACTTATTCAGCAAGTTTTTACGCAGCGGATGCCCTTCTAGCCACAACCCATCTCTGGGAAACATCCACACACACACACATTCACACACTGCGGACAATTTAGTCTATCCAATTCACCTGTACTGCATGTCTTTGGACTGTGGGGGAAACCAGAGGACCTGGGGGAAACCCACGCAAAGGCAGGGAGAACATGCAAACTCCACACAGAAACGCCTACTGAGCCGAGGTTCAAACCAGCGACCCAGCGACCTTCTTGCTGTGAGGCGACAGCACTACTTACTGCGCCACTGCCTCATCAATAATACATGTTAAATAATATTTGAACAACTTTAAAGGTATACATTGGAAAAATTGAGTTTATTTGAGATACTGAGATTTATAGTTTTCCCATAGGAACAATAACAATAATAATAAAATAAATAAACCGTGAGTCCCAATATGTACATAATGTAAAATAAAACATTCAGTGTATATAATTTGTCGCATAAGACTACTGGAATAAATCAATTTTGACTGAAAATATCAGGCAGAATGTATGAAATATCTGTCACTTTAATCAATTTAACCCTCTACTGCACGCATTGTAATAGATCTATAAAATATATATATTTGACTGTTTTTCTTTCCATACAGCATCAATGTCGAATAGTGGATCAAACTTAGAAATTTCAAATTTAGAACTCTCCTTATAACTAATAATTTTGTTGTTTGAATTGATTCAACTAAAGGGACTAAGCTGAAAAGAAAATGAATGAATGAAAAATTTCATTGGTGTTGCAGTACATACTTTCCATTATTCCAATAGTTTTCACATATTCCATTATTTTTCGCTGAATATTATTGAAAACAACCCTAATATTGTATTATTATGTATACAACATACAGTAGGTATAAATATTACCTCCAATTATAATTAATTAGTAATTATTATAACAAATAAATAACAAGTATATCCAGATGAATCAGAATAATGTAGCTAGCTAATGTTTATGCATTATACTATAGTACACCTGTCTTATCTGACAGCTTACCTATACTGTCTCCATCAATGCTCTTATCAAATGTCCAGTCTGCATCATTTTCATGGCCACTAAAACCCATCTCATCCTCTCTTTCATCTGCAGGAAGAGACAGTTCTGTCCCTTTTCTTCTTTCACTTACAATAGAACATGGAGGTGTTCGCTAATACACCTTTCCCTGTATTCAAATCTATTTAAAATTAATGTTGCCATTAAAACTAGATTTTATCCATAATGCAAATGTCATTACCATACAACTAATCGACATTATATTACTAGCTTTCATGTTGTTATTGTTGCAACCTAAAAGTTCACAGCTGACCTTGCTAGCTAGTTAACCCAATATTGCACATTCCACTATTGGACAGTGTTGCCATTTGGCAACACATACATTTGATCAATTTACAAAAAAAACAATTTGATAAAAACTTGTTTGAATTGTGTATATGTCATCATAACTTACTGGAGGTGATGTTTCAGATTTTTTTTGTGGATCTGACATGAGTTAATCCTTTGTTTTTATTAATGTTTTCATTTGCATTCAGCAACTACTCACAATAAACGCCAGTCTGTCAGAAATCACGCCACAGAAAAACACTGTACGTCATGTGACAACCAAATTTCATCAATGGCTAAACTAAGGTCTTCTCTTTCTAAAAAATAATAAAAAATTTTTAAATAATAAATAAATAAAATTAAACGCTCGTCAGTGGCAAGGAAATGAACATAAATATCATGTTGCCATTTGGCAACACCATGCGGTAGAGGGTTAATGCATCTAAGATTTATAAGCTCTTCTTTAAAACCTTACAAACATTTGAAGAGTAGTGTAGAAGACTGGGCTCTCTGAACGTAAATAAATCTTGGACTTGGTGGGTTCGCAGTTATGGCACACTTTGCCTCTTGAAATTAGAATGGCTCCTTCACTATCTATTTTTAAATCACTTCTAAAACTTACCTGTTCAGCATTGTCCAATTAATATTATTAAAATAGTCATTTCCATTGCTTCATTTTTTAATCTATTCAGTAGTTTCTCTTGGTTAATTTTAAAATGTGTCTTTATATTTTACTTATACCATAAGTGTCTCATGTACAGCACTTTGGTCAGCTTTGCGGCTGTTTTTAAATGTGCTTTATACATAAATAAAGTTGATTTTTAAGAGGGATCTTGTTGTCTGTCTGTTTAAAAGTGTCTTGTTCCCACTAGAATCCTCTGAAATGACCTCTAATCCAGCAAAAGGCACCAGCATAAGAATAAAGACACCATGCTTTCTGATATAAATTATTTATTTACATTACAGAAAAAGGACCCCATCAAGACAAACAAATTAACTATTGGAAATATTACCCATACATAACCAAAAAACAGGACTTGTCCTATCACGGTGTCCTAAAATTCTCTGTTAGTGTCCTGTGCCACAGGTGCAAGGCATCGTGTGTAGATCCCCTCGTCCTCCACCATCTCCTACCCTGTGCAGGATTCAGTGTCTCTGTGGGGATGGAGAGACAGTTTTTTCATCTTTATTTCCTGTCCTCCACACTACGCTGTTTCTCGTGTTTCTCTGCTCTCTCAGATGAGGCGGGTGGAGGCGCGCAGGGTGTTTTCAGAGTTGTAGTGCATTGTGTTCTGCTTCTGTCGGTTGATTCTGTTGGTCCGCGGGCACTTCCTGTGGAGGAAGGAAGCAAAAGTACATCCTTATCATACATATAACTCGCAGTGCTTTTTCTAATCAAAACAATGCCTGGAAGGAAAAACTCAGCTTATGCTATTAAAAAAATATCATGTTTCAGAGAATGAAAAAAGAGCTTTGGCTAAAAAAGATAAAGACAGACAGTTAAACTGCATCATGGCATACCGATTCTTTGTCGTAAGTGGGCTGTTTCATTGAATGGAGAATACAACAGATAAACACATTCACACACGATAGCTAAATCAATATATGGAATTTGTTAACATACAATTTGTTGGACCTTGCAAGTACATACTGATGAATACAATTTCACAGCAGTCTGTAAATAATGTTTTTATATTTACTTATTTTGTTTATTTTATTCAATGTGTTTGTAAAAATTACTTTTCATTATTTGGGAGGTATATATATTATTATATATATATTCTAATTATAATAGTTTGAATAACTCATTTCTAATAATGGATTTATTTTGTCTTTGCCATGATGACAGTATATAAATTTTTAATAGATATATCAAGACACTTCTATACAGCTTAAAGTGACATTTAAATGCTTAACTGTTAAATAGGTTAACTAGGCAGGTTAGGGTAATTAGGCAAGTTATTGTATAACGATGGTTTGTTCTGTAGACTATCAGAAAAACATTTAGCTTAAAGGGGCTAATAATTTTGACCTTAAAATAGTTCATAAAAATTAAAAACTGCTTTTATTCTAGCCTAAATAAAACAAACTTGTTTCCACTTTTGCCAGAGGAAAAAATATTATCAGACAAACTGTGAAAATGTTCTTGCTCTGTTAAACATAATTTGGAAAATATTTAAAAAAGAAAAAAAAAATCAAATGGGGGGCTAATAATTCTGAAAATCACTGCATTAAATTGCATTTTCCCCACCATGTCTTTGATATAAGACAGTTTATTCTACCCCAGTATTTTCAATAGAATTTCTACGCTAACCTGTTGCTACTGATGATGCAAGTGGTTACAACGGTCTTTCATCTCGTTTCACGCTTGAACAACTAAATAAACACTTGAGTCTATTTAACTGAATGAACTGTAATTACATTACAACATAGATGCTGTAAAAACAACCTTGTGAAATTAAAAATAGTCACATTTACCAACGGCTCTTCTTCAACTCTAGTTGTGCATAGAGCCTATCAATTTTCAATGTTTTCTTACCGTAACTATTTAATCATTTCAGTTGTACTCAAAAAACAATAATTTACTATCTGCATTTGGATTATGCTTTAATTTCAGATTACTGTTGCATTGTAAATAAGCCTGGTAGTTTTTTTTTTTTAAAGTGATTTTTGAAAATACTGTATGTATCACCTTGACTACATGTGTAAAGAACAACAGAACGTCATTTAATTTTTATTTCAACAAATATATATATATATATATATATATATATATATATATATATATATATATATATATATATATCTTCATGTTCAATGTAATAGTGTCAAAGTTAGCAAGTTAGGCAAGACGCAAGAAAGTTTTCTCTTTAGCTCTTTTTAGTTTGTATGTTCTCCCCGTGTTGGCGTGGATTTCCTCCGGGTGCCCCGGTTTACCCCACAGTCCAAAGACATGCGGTACAGGTTAATTGAATAAGCTAACTTGACCGTAGTGTATGAGTGTGAATGAGAGGGGGTGTACATTACTGGTTTGCAGCTGGAATGGCATCCGCTGTGTAAAACATATGCTGTGTTGGCTGCCGTTGTCATACATAAGTTGTCTGTTCATTCCACTGTGGCAACCCCATGATGAATAAAAGGACTATGCCGAAGGAAAATGATTGAATGAACTCTTCAGTGGATTCTCTTTTCTTGCACATGGTGTCTTGCATGATAATTAAAATATTATCAAAAATGTTTTGGCACATCTCTGCATTGATGTATGGTTCTGATGGATAACTAAAATACACTCTTTTTTTCAGTAAAGCTGCTGTAGTTTATTTGGCTAAATTTGGATTTTTTGCTTAAATTCAGTTTAAAAAGTTTGCATGAAGTTAAAAGGAACTCACTTTGTCATCATGCTGAACTGTGCACACACATTTTAACACACAAGTTCTTATGCCTTCCATTTAATAAATTTATATCATTCATTCATTCATTCATTCATTCATTCATTCATTCATTCATTCATTCATTCATTCATTCATTCATTCATTCATACATTTATTTATTTATCTATTTTCTTATTTGTTTATTTATTTATTTTTGTGATTGCCCTGTTATTGCCACCTTAAACAAATGTGAAAAAAATACTATATGTTTTTTAAAACGATCAAAACAAAAATTGTGTAACTCTAAAATAATGAACAAAACCCTAAAATACACCACATACAGTATGTATTTAAAAAACAGGAAAAATGATCATGCATGCCATCACTGTTTGTTAAGGGGCTTCACAGAGGTACAGTACTCCATACAGACAAATGTCTACACTGTGAAAGCAGAGCATAAAAACCATCCATCAATCTTTTCTCCCATCTCTCATTATCCATGAACATACTGAATACTCCACTCAGGTGTACAGTAAATACCATTGTAGATTCTTGAGTTACTTAATGCTGCCGGTGATTTAAATTTCACTACTGCGCACACACCCTTCCACAATGACCTTTCACAGAGTGTAAAGTGTTTTATTTAGCAGACTCCTGGCGGCAAGAGCTCTCACTCTATAAAGAGCTGTGTGTGTGTGATCCACTCAGGAGGTTTCTGTCCTCTGCTTTCCTCCACAGCGCATGCGATATAATGCTGTGGTGTGTGTTTATACTCACCGGGTGATACACAGCACCACTACACATATGATGGCCACCTGCAGAGCACCAATGACGGACGCGATGAGGACATAGCGGAGCTTTCCAGAGCCTGGCACCACATATAGCACATTATACTCCTTAGTGTCACACTGCGGCCCGCTGAATCCTGAGTGACAGCTGAAGAAAGAGGAAACACTCCCTTATATCCTTGTTTGATTGCATGGGTGTCTATTACTTGTTTTTAAACAGTCTACACTCTCTGTAATATACACACACTCACTGCAGTGTTTCCTGCCCTCAAAGGCTTTCCTCAAAAACACCTGCTGTTTTACTGCAGCAACTGCTCAAGATGATTTTCTCTGTCTTATTATTTCTCTTTTCTTTTACTTTTCTGTGACTTTAATATGAGTTTTTACAAGCTGAATAGCCAATTATATTTTATTAAGCTGATGTGTGCAGCTTTGCAGTAAAAAGAAAAACTTGGTGGCAGCTTGATCTGCAGAAATGATTTGTGTAATGTTTTCTCTAAACAATGTACAAATCAAGCAATAATGCGTGGGGCAGCACTACATGTTTTATATATATATATATATATATATATATATATATATATATATATATATATATATATATATATATATATATATATATATATTTATTTTTTATTTTTAATTAATGCATTTAACACATTTTTTGAACTAACTAATAACTAAAGATATTTTTAAAGGGTTCACACTTAGCTGATCATTGATAATGAAGCTTGTTTAGCATGCTGTCTTGGGAGAGAGCCCTGAGCTTATGAGATCCTAGAGCCTTGGGTTCCTTCTCGTTTGCAGAGTGAGAGGGGAGTTTGAGCTCAGGTAGATCTCGATGAACTCCCCAGGCTTATTTCTGGCTAATGACAGATATAGGATGGCTGAGAAGAGGTGTACTCGCTAAGAGCTTGGCTATGGTATCAATTTGTTATGCTCAATTTACCTAGGTAGTGTGTTTTTTGGACTGTGGGAGGAAACCGGAGAACCCGGGGAAAACCCACGTGAGAACAAGCAAACTTCACACAGAAATGTCATCTGGTTTAGAAGGGACTTCAATTAGAGACATTCTTACTGTGAGGCAAGAGAGCTAATCACTGGGCCACTGTGTTGTTCATCTGGAAAGAAGGGAAAGTAGGGGGGGATTTTTCAAGACAAAGATATTAAGATAGGAAAACTGTGGTTATGTATAGTGAGTTAGGAATCATCTGATTGGAGAATAAATCATGAACTGATGGGGGACCAGCTGAGAACAGTCATAAGCACATGATCCTCTCCAATTTAGTTTATAAATAAACTTTACATAATACTGGTTTCCCTTTTTCATTTATATTAAGCTAACAAATTAACAATGGCCACTTTATAATTAGTCCCCTCAACAACTGCGATTTGTATTTTATAACTACAATCCTCATGAAAGAATGAATGAATAAATGATATAAAGGATAAAAGTGTCCTTCTGAAAAGTCAAGATAAATAGTCATAAAATGTCATGGAAATTTCATAATTTTTTTTTTCCTAGTAAAATTAATCTTTAACCTTTTATTATTATTTTATATGACACACATAGAAATATTCTTTGAAAAAAAATATGCAGTTTACTGGGGGTTATTACAAGACCTCCGGACTTAATTATTTAAATATATACATAAATAAATAGCTATCGATGTAAGCATATATGTGATTCTTTGCCCGATAAAGAGTAAAAAACGCCATTTATACATTAAAAAACACTAGAAATTAACTATTTTATTTGCTTGAAAAGTTTTAACTCATAAAAACATTAAATGTTTAACTTCTGAAATGTTTAAATATTTATTATTTTACAATTATTTCATTAATGTAGCCTACTGCCACTCCCTACTTCTGTGGATAATAAAAAAACGTGTAACACTTTATTTTGATGGTCCATTTGAGTATTAGACTGTCTGCTTAATATCTGTTGATACGGCTCCTTCAACAGACATTTAACTGACTATACAAAACTTTACAAGTAGCTACATATCATCTTACAGTTACACTAACCCTAACCCCAACCCCAACCTAACAGTCTACTTATAATCTAATGAGAATAAGTTAGCATATAGATTCAATGTAACTTAAGTCAACAAACGGACCATCAAAATTAAGTGTGACCTAAAAGACAACAACTTTGACAGAAGAAACATGAAACATGTCTTGGTGGGTCTTTATCAATGGTAAAAAAGAAAAAAAAACACTCGTTGCTGAACACTTGGGGGAGACAAAGATCTGTGACAGTTACATACACAATCACAACAAGCTGTGTTTAAACACTTATTCTGAATGTGTTTTTCAAGATGGGCCAAACTGGGCTGATCAGACACATCAAACATGTCTACAAACATGTCTGTGTTTGTAACATGTCAGGACACAAATGTGTTTAAAATCACGGTTATAACAAATGTAATGCAAGGTGATGGACTTATAAAAACATTGCCCATGTCCCTATTTTTGAAATGGCTTATACATTTGGATTTTCATGAAGTAAAAAAAAGTGTGGTTGTGATAGGGCTTTACAAAATGCAGTTTGTACGTTATAAACACAATGGAACATTCACACCATTCACAAACAAAGAAATGTGTGTGAGTGGTGTGTACCTGCAGGACGGTGTTGAGAGCATGTTGGGATATTCACAGTCTCCATGAACACAATAGTTCTTGTAGTGCTCAGGGCAGGGGATGTACAGACCCCTTGCCACCTCTGAAACCTCAGGCTTCTCCTCTATAATTCACACACAGACACACAAGTGGGTCAAAATGGCTGAAATCAAGGACATCTTCAGATTCACAGCCATGTTAAAATAAACTTTCCGTAATAATAATAATAATAATAATAATAATAATAATAATAATAATAATAATAACAATAATAGGAATAATAATAATAATAATTATTATTATTTATTAGATTAATTTATTAGCTAATGTATTTACTAACAAAACTGAATATAAACAATACTTGCATAGCATTTATTATTAATCATGTTTCAAGATTTACTAATGCATTATTAACATTTAAACACATACTTGTTAACATTAGTTAACGCACCATGAGTTAAACTAACAAGGAACAACTGTATTTTCAATAACTAACATGAACATATACTGTAATCAATGTATTGCTCATTGTTTGTTCATGTTAGTAAAAGCATTACATAACATTGACTAATACAATCTTATTGTAAAGTGTGACCAATAATATAATAATAATGATGAAACCCACCTGTGTAGTCTGTCCTGGCATACTGTCCATCTCCGGCTTTGGTGCCTGTAATCATGTCGCCTGCAGGATAAAGGATTCAGATTTTAAAAGAGCAGATCGTCCTCTGTCTGATGGTTACATAATAAAGCATGTTTTCATTTGTACATTGCCATTTTAAAGATGATATTTGGGTAAGTGCTGTTCCAGAGACTAATGATCATATGAACATGAAGGGACTTGATTGCATAACAGTGATTTATAATTTTCATCTTTACATGATATGCACTCACTGTCTTATATAAATGCAAATTCAATGGAAGAAGACATCATAAGAAAGGCTCAATTCATTACGTAAGCCCTCAAAAATCTTTTGAAGTCTTACCCTGACAGTGACCCAGGAACTTGACCTCGATGCGCTCCTGTCGCTGACACGACGCCTCTTTTACCTGGCATGGGTTGTCATATGAACGGCCGTCTGATGCGCACACAGGGTTAAAACTGATGTGGGAGCAGTCGATGTTACACACGCACCTGAGTAGTGAGAAAGCGCACTGTAAATGCCAATTACTGGCAAATCAAAGACCATGAAAAACATCATTTAACGAGTGTCACACCTTGTTTGATCAAGATGTCAGCCAAGAATAACACTTCAGACATGCAAATTAAGGATTCAGAGTAATTGCTGGAGGGCATTCAGAATTTCAACGTCTGATATTGATGTAAAAATGTAAAAGTTTAATTACATCTTTTTTCAGGGCCAGTTGGAATTAATGCCATTTCTGTTCATATATTAGAAGAAAAAAGGAATGTTTAAAAGAAGATGAAACAGAAACAAGAAAAGCTTTAAAAAGGCTCCAAAGAGTTTGTTTTGTTTCAGCAATCCAATAGAGGAACTATATTGGTTCTATAGAACCTTTGATTGGGTTCTTCAAAGAACTCTTTCGTCTTAGTGTAAAGACTATTATAATAATATAAAGAAAACTTTGTACCTCTTTAAACAACCATTCTGCAAGATTCAGTGAAGATTAAATAATTTCTACACTCCAAAAAATATGTTTGCTGTTTGATCAAATGACTTTTTTAAACTTATATTAGTTGAAACACAATTCTGGAGTTTTTACAGTGTATGGAAACATCAATGGCAATAAGAAACTTTTTTTATGTTCTTTGTGCTCATATGAAAACAACTCTTTTAATTAAAATATGGATTATACAAGATAGCATATGAGATTAATTCAATCATGTGACTCATCTTTCTAAAGTGTCATTTAAGCATTGTGACTGACTTAAGTTTATGTCAAAAGAAGAGACAATGCATACTGTATTGTCACCTTGTGTCAGTCTGAAAGCTGCTCATAAACTCATTATAAACGATTTGGAGTATTTCAAGTTAACATTTTAACCTATTGTGGGCCTGCGAATTCATTCTTTACATCAGCAGGTACCAGTAGCTATATTCTTCGTTCAAAGAAGTAAACAGACACTAGGACTGCAGATACACAAAAGTAAAGTATGAAGTGCTATTTTGACTTTTATTTATAGCAATCCTTTCTTCATTCCAGGTGGCTCATATTGTTATGAATACATTTGCATACTGAAATGCTCAGGTAGGATGACATAACTTTAAAGAATCTTTCTGTTTGTGCAGTTTTGGCTTCTTTGCTTATTCTTCATACATTCTAAACCAAATATCCAGACAGAGTATTTGCTTTCAACGACGGCTTGATGCCGATTCAGCATGCTGAACTGGGCACACTGCCACTGACATGATCCTGCATAGTGGAACAGTCTGCAAAAACGTCTTGATAGGCATTTGCAAGGCCCAACATTGTCAAAAGGCTGGCTTGATGTGTCATGGTCCTATAGGTAGCACTGCATGTTTTTGATTCAGTTAAAAAAGCTTGTGAATCAAACTGTGCTGGTCATGGTTGTATTGTTTGCTTTTGCATGCAGCCTGCAAGGACAATTTATAGGACCTGTGAAATTAAAATAACGTTTTTTAGATGTTAGTATCAGTATGTTAGTCTAAAGAATATCTATAATCTAGTGTTCTCCAAAACAGTGACTAAATTCACTTTTAGAAGATATAAAACTAATAAAAATATGCAAACACAGGTCTCCAACTCGACTCCTGAAGGGCCATAGCTCTGCAGTTTTGCTCCAACCCTAATCAAACACAGCTGATCAAACTAATCAAGATGTTCAAGACTACTAGAGACTGTGGCTGCCTCCGAAACCGCCTACTACTCAGTAGGTACTGCATTTGAATTTAAACGAATTTAAACTACTCGGCCGTTAGAAAAGTATGTTCTATACAGTATGAATGTGAAAAGTATGAATGGAATTTGGACGTACTACATCCGCCATTTTGTCATGGTCCTGTGTCAGTTGCATCGCTTTACTCCGATTCATAATTCGCTCAAAGGCATCATGGGATAGGGTAGCATGCATGCGATGTGCACTCCAGAATCTCGCCGGAAGTAGTAAGTCATCGGGTACTTCTCGCACACTGATTTCCGAATTCTATGAATTTAGACATACTACTCGGCTCGCATACTGATTTTAGCATACTATAGTATGGAAATATGCGGTTTCGGACGCAGCCTGTGAGTTGGAGGTGGTTGGAGCTAAACTATGCAAGGCAATTGAGTTTGAGACCACTGGTGTAAAGCTTGCAGTTTGTCACTTCTGCCTAAATGAGTCAATGTTGTTTTTTTTTACATCACCTCATACTTCAGTTTCAGATCAAATCTTGCTCAATTAAATTCTCACTAGTGTCTGACATGGCCCGCCCCTTGCTTTATATTTTATATGCTTGAGCTCAACTACTCTCATTGGCAGCTATGATAAAGCAAAATTCTATTGGCTGCTTTTTTTTAAAGAGAAGGAGCTACTATTTGCCCTGTCCTCTCTTTGAGTTTCATTGCGATTCCAATAAACATTAAATAAAAAATGCGCATTTCAAAGCACTTCATGGGACCTTTAATAGAAATGTTTTCTCATGGAACTTTGTGTTTTTAATGCATAACAATGCAAGACAGATTTTATAAATTGATAAATCAAAGCCATGAATGAAAATGTATATTTTAACCCACACAGTCGATTATGTTTTATGGCAAGTGTCTAATGCGTTTATGAAAATATACATATAAAAGGAAATAAATACAGTTTCATTCAGAAGTTTGCTGTTGGTAAGATTTTCTAAAATGTATTTTCATGAAGAACAGACTAAAAATATTATTTTTGCCAAAAAAAAAAAAAAAAACTTTGATAGCTTTATAAAATTCTCTAATAGCTTTAAATTAAGTCAGTAAAAATGTTTAATCTTTAAAAGTTTTAAAAACCCTGTGATGACTAAGCTGATTTTTCATTATCATCATCATCATTTTTTTTTACAGAATTTTTCCTTTTTTTATTATACAGTGAAATACCTGTTGTTTTACAGATATGTTCTGTAATAAAAAACTTCTTACAATAAATTTACAGTTATTGCTTGTAATTTGGTATTACGTAATTTTTCTGCTTTTTAAAGGAAATTTTATGTATTTTCAGAGAGTAACATGTAATTTTATGTTAATATTTACAGATTATTTCTGTAAAAATAGGGAAACAAAAATGCAGTCAAATTGTTTTTAGTGAAGATAAACATATGAAAATTAATAAAGTCAAATAATAGCCTTGTTTGTAGGCTGCATATAATGAATGCACTGTAAACTATGAAATATTTATTTTACTACTCTAACAATGTTGCTATGCGAACTGTGACAATCACCAGTGATCTAGCGGCTGCAGATCACTGTAAAACTATACGTTACTTTAGAAATGAGCAGGAATACTACATCAAAACTGCAGAAACTGGAGAGACGCAGAGCCTTGCGATGTATACGCACCGCCATCTTGCCTCCAGTTTAACGAACTACAACTCCCAGCATGCACCTCGCACACTTGGGTTCCTAATTCAAACTGATTACCCACACAGTCAGAAGATAGTTATGGACTGATTTCAAGAACTTTAAACTCAGCACACACATATCGTTTCTAAGTCTTAAACTGTTTAGTGAGCATTACGACGCAGTTTCCCTTGCCTTGCCGTGTTTGACCCCTTTACTTTGTTATTTTGTTTGCCGCCTTTATGCTTGGTATTATCTGTATTTACCTGTTTGTTCCTGTTTCAACCTTTAATTGCAAGATGATTCTGTTAATAAACTATTTACAGTTTACTGTTATTTAGAGTTTAACCTACATATCCTTAAAATATTTGTTCAACTATATTACAGTTTATAGTTATCTTTACAGTAATTATTGTACCCAAGCTTTTTTTTTCAATCATTCTTTAAAAGTTTTTTTTTTCATTTTTAAATGTATGTTAAAATTGGAAAATTTGATGGAATATTTGGAGATTTAATGCCTAATTACATAAATAATCTGTATAATTACATTAATAACATGCATAATTACAGTTATTATCCTTATAATCACACTAATTAATCTGTATAATTACAATAATAACCAGTATAATTGCAGTAATAATCCTTATAATCACATTAATTATCAGTTTAATTACATTAATATATATATATATATATATATATATATATATATATATATATATATATATATATATATATATATATATATATATATATATATATACACAGTAATAATTTGTAAAATGACAGTAATAATCTTTCAGATTAGCTACATTTTTTGTTCCGACAGTTTTTTTTCCGACCCCTGCTGCCAGAAAATTACTGTTTTTTTAAACCGTTTTTTTAACCGTTTTTTTACAGTGCTTGACAACAAAATCAGCCATATGTTTTTTTTTTTCCTTTTATTCTTTCGAAAATTGAGATTTATGCTTATGCTTACACACCTGCCCTAGATCCTGTCTGATTGCATACACTCACAGCTACTGAAGCTAATCGTGAACTGATTACATAGAATATAAAGTCAGCCCACAAACACACAGAAGTTGCGGAGTCTTCTTAAACTGTGGATCAAGACATGCGGTTTCCTTGACATGCCTTTTTGACTTCTGTGTTTTTTAACGTTGCTTTATTTTGTTTGTTGTACCCCGTCTGCTGCCTGCCTTTTGACTACCTGCCTGTTTTTTTGACTACGAATCTGGATTTGCCTGTACACATCTGTTTGGCCCTGTGTTTACTGTTGCTTGTCTGACCATTCTGCTAAATAAACCTGCTTGTGGATCCGCACCTCTGTTGTCAGCATCACTTCACATTTACATATATGCATTATATGAAAATGTATTAATTAGTCTACAGTGATTTATAGACTTTAAGGTAAGGACAGAAGATAATTGAAAATCTGTCATCTTAGGATTCCAAAAAACAAAATAAAAAACATAACACTAAGAGAGTTGTCAATATGACGTTTACAGCAATGAGCATTACTAAACAAAAGTTTTGATACTTATAGTAGGAAATATACACAATATCTTCATGAAACATGATCTTTACTTAATACTTTAAATATTTTGGAAACAATGTATTTTGGCTATTGGCAAAAAAAAC